AAAGATGGATTTGAAAACAACAAGCAACTGAACATAATTGCCAGAGCAATATTAATTTATCTTGAAATTGTAGAACTTTGGAAACAAATTGGCTACTATGATGTATGTAAAGATGTCAATAATTTAGTATTACAAGGATCTTTGCTGATTCTATTCTATCCAAATCATAAAAATGATGAAGTTTGTGTTTATCCAACTACAAATGATTTTGTTGAACAGCTTCAACAATTAATCAAAGTTGGATTCAAGCTGACAAAATCTGTTATGGCTGATATTTTAATTTTGTATGAACAACACCTTAATGAAATTGGAGGGACACTCTTAGAAGCTTTTCAGATTGTTAGAAATCTGACAAAACTTGAAATTATTGAATGTTGTGCTGTAGAAGTTATTAAGATCAACAGGAATTTGAAAAACCATCAAGTTCTAAATTTTCTAAAAATGCAAATTGAAGAAAATCAATTGGAACATATCTTTCTTGAAGCCCTAATTTATTATTATTTTGATGATAAAACCAGAAAAAAATTAATTGATTATCAAATACTTAAACAAAATAACTCTTCTATTCACAACACTGACAATTCAATTAACAATGATATTAGTAAAACTATAAATAACATCAACAAAAAATCAACTAAGTATCATAATTATGGTAATAATTATTATCAACATAATATTGAGAATTTGGGAAAAAATAATTATTATTGGACAAAATATTATGTTGAAAAATTAATATGTGATGATAATTATAAATTTATAAATTCAAATATTGAAGCACCAATTAACAATATAAGATTATTAAGATTAAGCAGCAACTTCTACAAATGGGTGTTAAAAAATTTCAATCCAGATTCATTAATAACAAGATTGTGTTTTAATGATATAATTATATCCAAAGTTTGGATTGATAGAGAACTGCAACTTCACCCAGAAAGAAGAATACCAGAAAGAATAACTCGTGCATTTGAATTGATCATATTTATTTACAATGAATTTTGTCAAAATAATATTCCATTTGAATTGACACATTTAAATTTATTAAAAAAGTCAAATAATATTACAACTTTGAGGTCATTTTTTGAAGGTTTTTTGCCTCAAATTTTTAATCTTGAACCAAGTTTTACATATAACAACAACATCAATACTCAAGAACATATATTGGAAAATCAACTACATTTGCAAAACCAACCCCTTCTTCAACTACTTGATAATGAAAAGAATGAAAAAAAATTTGAAATTGAAGAAAGAATCAGATCATGGTTTGAAGAATTGGAAAAAGTTTATCATCAATTAGCCACAATCACACATGATAATGACCAGTTCACTTTGAGTTTTATATCTTGCATGAAGAATTTTTGGAAAAGAATTGTGGAAGAAACTGATTTCATCAATGAATTTAAATTTAAAAAAGGAGAATGCGAGGAAAACATTTAAAAAAAAATATACCATTTATCTTGCTTATCTTATATTTTAAAAAAAATGTATTTGTCAAATGTCATTTTATTAAAATAATATATATTCATATGTAAAACCTTTTTTTTAAAATAAATTAACACAGATAAAAAAAAGAATTCCGTCTTAATTTCTTTTGTGCGATCAACGTTTTCACCATATTGAGCGAATTTTGAGTCATATGGCAAATATTCTGTTTATTAAAGAGAGTTCTTTGCAATTGCAATCGCAATCGCAATCGTCTTGTCTGTTATTTGCAATGATATTGCAATGAACTTCCGCTTTCCCAAATTTTTTTTTATTCAAAAAAAGGTTCGATTATTTTTTGCGCAACCAAAATTATTACTTTTTTATTATTATTATTATTATTGGGTAAAAATAAAAAAATACGTCAAAAGTTATTTGAATATTATTATTATTATATTTATAATTATCAAACAGAATTTTTTTTAAACAATAAACAATATCTTTTAAATTATGGCTAAAATTTACAATTGATTATTTTTTTTTGGTACAGATAACGTTATACGATAACGAGAAGTTACTATTAAAGTATTAAAGTGTGGGTTCATTGATATTCATAAATTCATTGACAATTATAATTGATAAAATGTTTATTATTGTTATTAGTAATAATAAAAAAAGTTTTCAATAAAAATAACTGACAATTCAACAACATTTTTTTTTTAAAATAAATTTTGATATTTATTTTAAACACCTTTTTAACACTACAACAATAAATCAATTTTTAAACGATGGCATCTATCTTAACATCTATTGTATATATAAAGGCTGTGAGTGGTGCAAACCTTCAAAAAATCACTATATATAAATTTTGAAATAAACGGTGCACATGCCTCGAGGTGCCAATTCCCATTGCAGAACGTATTTGCCTTGACAACTCACAAAACTCAAGGCGTGACATTGCTCTAACAATTGATGAAAATATGTTTGCCTCAGATCAGATCTATGTGGCGATGAGCAGGGATCCTTCTTGGGACCAGTTGAATATCCTTCATTTGGTTTGATTACCCGAAGGTGGATAAAGATGTTGTGACTGAATACAGAAGATTAAACACCAAAACGGTCTAAAAAATATTATTAACGAATGAATTAATTGATTAAAAAAAAAATTTTTTTTGATGTAACGTGCTCATTTTGCATCCGAAATTTTAATCTTGTTGAAATGTGGTTTTGAAATAAAAAAAGTTTATGTTACGTTGTGCAATTAAATTAATTTTGTTTGGAGAATGGCAATTCATGCGAAAACCAATTTAACTCGATATACAACATAATAGTTCGAAATTATATAGTAACAGTAATAGATAAATAAATATTAGAGAAGCCAAGAGTATTTTATATGATACGGTGTGTTAATTATACAAAAAAAAAGTGTTAGACACCTCAAATATATTAATTACACAAAAAATTTATAGCTTATGTTCTGAGGTTGTGTATATATACTGTATACTCAAACAATTAAATATAAAGAGATTTGAAAAACAAATCTTGACGCGTAACAATTATCCTAAAACATACATAATAGTGTGTTTTGAAATCTTTAATGTGATGGCCTAGGATCTCTTGTTTCTTTAATTTTGTTTATCATCATCAACCAGCGTATTAAAATTCTTTTTGAGCATGTATCGTGTAAAATTCTTTTAAAAAACTGCGGGTAAAATCCGAGTTTTTGAAAAGAAATTTTAAATGCAATCGAGTCAGGTGAACCCCGCCTTTTGGAAGTGAAGTCATAAATGGAATTAGAAAACATTAAGGCTCTAATTGAAGCTAAGGTTTCAATACCTTTTATATTAGTCTTTATTATTGTTCTTTAATGTTATGTACATGTATATGTATGTAACTCTGCTGATTGTGGACAGGAACACGAGTAAATAATCTATCATGGAGAAAAATTAACAGATCCTAAAAACTCTTGAACAATATAAAATTATCCAATATGATATATTATTGCTTAGAAAACGAAATACAGGAACTCGACCAACTGTTAGCACGTAACAATATTTGATATAAACCATTATTGGGTTAAAAAATAAAAATCATACTGTTATTCTAGTATTTCACTAGAAACAGAATTAGTTTGTCAAATAATGCTAAATCAGCATCAAATGATACAACAATTGCTTCAAAGTAATATTTTATCAATTAGAGATGTTAAAACATTTCTGTTGATTATTTAATTGGATATTGTTAGACTCGACCAGAATTAGCTAATGCTTGCTTTAATTAGAATATTCTTAATGCAGATCCTTTTGGCATTCAACGAAGGATTGAAGAATAGAAAATGTTATGTTGAATTTTAAGATAGCCTTAGAATATAATCCAGAATCCTTTGGTCAAACGAATTCCAATAAATTAAAGGCTACGTATTATATATATACATATATTTATTAAAAATCAGGCAACTATGTTGTGTATTGTTGTTGAGGTAAACGGACATCCTGTCAAGGCTTTTGTTGATTCTGAAGCTCAAGAAACTATAAGAGGTGTAAATGAGGAAGCACAAATTTTGGCATTTTATTGAATTTCATTGATGGGTAAGAATTAAAATTATATTTATATATATGCTCATTTATAAATTTTTTATTTTTATTTGTAATTAAAATTTCTTGGTGACATTAGAATCTTGAAATATGATTTTCAGGAGTTGCTAAAGGTGTTTCATAGCAAGAGTTTTAGGACGTGTCCATACTGCCAAAATACGTGTTGGAAATGGCATATTTCTACTGTATTCATTCACAATCATGGAGATTTTTGTATATTTAAATTTGAATTGGATGGATGAATTGATGGATGAATTGATGGGTAATTAATAATAGTTATTATTTTATTTATTTTAAATTTGGGCATATGGTGTAGACTTGCTATTAATTGAAAGACATCGGGCCTTAAAACTCTTATCATCAATGGAGAAATGATTACATTTTTACCAGAGTGTGAGTTTCCAGAACATGCACAGATAAATCCTCCTGGTACTAACAGTTCTCAACTTTATTAAATTCATCATCATCATTGGCTTCCACATCAAATGTTATACCTCCTAGTCAACCATCTAATACTAACGCATCTACTCCAGGCAAGTAAAAAATTAAAAATGAAGTGAAGTGAAAAATATACAATTATTTCATTTAATGCGTTTGATTTAATCATTTAACTATGAAATTTGCCTAGCATTATTAACATCATCATCACAGAGTCAAACTTATTTATCTCAAGGAACATATTGAACAGATAACGTCAATGGGTACAATAAAGCTATCAAATCATTAGAAGTCATCCTTAATTTATTATTTGAATAATATAAAAAGGTTTTTTTGTGTAATTCCAATTTGGTATTTGTGAAAAAATTTTCCTATTTAGGGATGGACAATAGAAACAAGGTAAATGTCTACTGTAGTACTATTGTCCACACCCCATTTATGGACTAAAAAAAAAATTTCAACTCACTTTATATTTAACTATATTTATGTTATTCATTTATTTATTTAAAGAAAATATTATAGTTTACACACAAATTTTTCCACTAGGATCTAGTCGACTTGTGCGCCGTAACCTCTAATTCCTTCTGCATATTTCCAATCCGTCGCAACAGAATAAGGTTGAGTTATTTCAAAACCTTGTTCTGTTATTTTTGCACGTTGAAACTAAAACAGCAATTATTATAATGATAAATATAGTGATTATGAATCATCAAACCCCCAAAATAAAAGCCATTTCAACGAATAAAGAAATAAACAAACTTTATTTAAACTACGAGTATCCCTATAATATAATACTTTCATACAATTGTCTATAGCTGTAATTGCCTCCTCTTCTGTAAGTGTATCTTCACGACCTTCAACAGCATTACGAAGGATAGGTTGTACCAAATGAGCTCCAAAACCCGTTGAGATTGTTGTTGCTTTAAATGTTGTTCCAAGTAAATCAGTATGTCCAAGAAATCTGTGTTTTTTTTTAAAAAATATGTGTATTTGAATCATAATATACAAAATAAATAAATAAATAATTTATTGAAAATAAATATTGTAAACGAACTTTTCTCCTTTGTGATATCCTCCCACTATAAATGAATTCCAAAGTGGATTGAATTGTGATCTTCTATTGTACATTACTTTACTTAAGAATTCATAAATATGAGGTGCAGAAAGAGTGTGGCTATCATTTGTATAATATTCTTCTATCCTGTAAAAGTAATAAGATCAATAATAAGATAATATATGTTTTGATTTCTTTATTGTTTTTATATAAATATATATATAAATTTATTTATTTATTTACATTACTGTATTTAATAAATGTTGAACATATTGAAAATCTGAAATATCCCCTGATGCGCCAATCATTGTGTAGTCACCAATTGGACAAATTCGCTGTAAAACGATAATAATCAAGATCACTTTAATAATAATGAAAGATCAAAGTATTTTATATATTAAAGTTAAAATAATTGCAAACCTCAACATCCTTGAAACGTGCAAGGTTGCCATAAGAAGCTTAAATAAAAAAATTTTAATCAACATTAATGAAATAATAATTTCTTATATTCAAAAACTAATTGATAAAATAATACACATACCCAAATTATCAGCTGCCATCATAACACCATCTCGATACTCTAATGCAATAACTGAACTACCGGTAACAATTGGTGTCCTGTTCTCATTATCAAACAAAAAAGTAATTTATGTTAAAGTAAATACTATCTATCATTATTTTTATAACCTATAAAATATATTGTATGAGTATATAAAAATTATTTCATACAAAGTATGCGAAATTGGACCAGAGAGTACTTGGTTTTCACTAGAGAGCAAATCGCCTCCTGATAACAAATAATTGTCCATTTTTTTAAAAAATTATTTTTAAAAAATTATTTTAGTTTGATAACGTTACGTTACACATTTTTATTGCAATTACGTCATATATTAATCTCGAATAAATTGGTGGACTGATTTTTTATGCTTGCAGTTGTCGTTGTTTATCAACGGTTTCAAAAGAAGGGTTTGTTGAGTTATGTGAAATCTTCAAACTCTTTCCAAGTCTGAACAAGGTATCTTCTTAATGACCCAACTCAAAATGGATCAATAAGTACCAGCAAACGCCTCACTCGTGCCAATAAGCGAATTTTTTACATGGCAGTGTTTATTTCGAAAACATTAAAAATTATCTATTAAACAATGGTCTTATATCAAGAGTCCACAACAATAATAAAATGAATGCCTCAATGAAAAACAAAAATGGATTTTAACAAAAAAAGTTGTTACAACTGTGAAAAATTGAAAATCACGCTAAAGTCCATGGATTACAAAGACATTTAAATATATCATCATCATCACTTTTAATTTTTTACTTGCAAGAATCAACTATAAATTATTTTATCGAGATTTTCTTGTAGTCTTGAAGACAGCAATTGAATTCAATGAAGTATTTGGGTGGTCAGCCAATCTCAAATGATTAGAGAAAAAAGAAAGGATGAATAATGACATCAAATGTTTATTTTCTATGTTGGTAAAAAAATTCATTATTATACAAAATATAAGTTTGAAAATAATAATCTATTTAAAAATATTTCTAAATATTTGAAAATAATAAATAAACAATTTTAAAATTAATTAATTAAAAAATTGTACATGAACTATGTTCTTCACCATTTGGATAATTTAATTTTTCTATTTCCCCTATCATTAATTCAAAAATACGAGCTTTTTTACCAAAAAAAGATTAAAATTTAGAATAATTCAGAAATTTAATTTGCCATAAAATTCAAACATCAAAATGGTTAAAATACATACTTATATTCTCATTGTGCTTAGCGGATGCTTCTGTCCATGCACAATTCCATTGAATAGATAATTCTTTGCCTTCTTCTGGTGTCAATTTTCTAAAAAAGATATAATATATATATGAATGAGAGAGAACCACCATGTTAGCACGATAATAATAACATAATAATAATAAATAATAATAATAATAAATAATAATGAATAATAATAATAAATAATAATAATAATAATAAATAATAATAATAACCTTTGCATGTGTAAATCAGTTTTATTTCCTACAAGTACAATTGGAACAGATTCTTTTCCTGTGTGATTCAAGATTTTATCTCTAATAGTTCTCACCAACTCGAAACTTTTTTTAGAAGTTATCGAATACACTAAAATATAACCATCAGTTCCTACTCCATAAGTTGGATTGAAAAGTGAATGTTCTTCCTAGAATTATCATTAAAATTATTATTTGTTATGATATGAGAAATAAATTTTATTGATTTCTTTCTTTATCACCATTAATATTGCTATTATTATTATATTATTATTATAAAAAAATAGTTACTTGACCAGCAGTATCAATAATTTCTGCTGCTATTTCCTGTCCATGATATCTTATGACTTTGTTGAAAGTATTCTCAATTGTTGGATAATAAGAGTCAACAAAATGATTTTCTACGAATTGGATTGTCAATGAAGACTTTCCCACGGCAGTATCTCCTAATACTGCAATTGTTCTTTGCAATGGTCTCATTTTTATGTTATAATAAATTATGAATTATATAAAAATTTTTAATAATAAAATATAATAATAAAATAGAAAGATTTTCTGACAAGATTACCTTTCCAAAACTCTGGGCATTTAACAAGTCACGTGATTCTTTTCATTATCACTTGGTAGGACCCCGGAAACTACATAGATAGGTTACATTATTTTTGGGTAAATCAATATGTAAAAAAATCGAAAGGTCAGAGAAAATTCTGGGTAAATTAATATATATGGTTTAAAAGGTCATGACTTTTGTAGGGTAAAGAAAAAAATAGTTATGCTAGAAAATGGATAAAATTAAATATAAATATTTCAAATATTTTTATGTTGGTTCCATTTTGGGTAAATTATTAGGGGATAAATTTTAATATTAATATACATATGTGTATATTAAACTTAAATAATTTTTATGTAAATCAAGATCCTAAAAATATTTCATGTGATTCAGAAAATGTTAGTGAATTAATTAAAATTCCTGAGAATGAAAACTGTACTATATTATTGTTTGAAGATGAAAGCAAAGATGAAAGTGAGAATGAAGATGAG